CATTTAAGTGGAATGACAGAAAAAATAAAACAGAGTTTAAAACATTTAAAGATCCAAACATATACAAAACATTCTCCAAGTATAGGAGAATTGCTTAATAAAACGAGAAAGATTGCGCAAGAAGAACATAATAATTCGTCAAGTATCAATGTTGTCTATGGGATTTTGTGTAAATGTAATGCATTATACGTAGGAGAAACTGAAAACTTCGACATACGTTTAGAGCAACATCAGAAATGTGTAGAAAAGAAAAGAATAAAAATATCTGAAATTGCTAAACATGTTTCAAACTGTAAAGATAGCGATATTCAATTTAAAGATAGCGTCATCTTTGATTATGAAAGAAATGTTCACACGAGGAGATGGTTAGAATCGGTTTACTCATTGGTCAATCGATCATACAATAAAAAACGAGTGTTTCCACAGTCGTGGTCACCAATAATTGCTAAATGGGTTAAGAAAGGTACGGGAGTTATTTATAGCAAGAAAGATAAAAACGAGAAAGTTAAAGAAGGAGAGAGTCAAAGTAAAAAAGAGAATAAGGAGGAAGTTAAGAATACAGTGCTAAGAACAGAAAATCCCAGATATAATCTGAGAATCAAAGGAAAAGTTGACTATTCAAAATTAATAAAAAAACTAATAGAGAATAATTCTTTTTCGATAGTATAACTTTAAAGTGTTTGTGATTAATTTTAGATTTTGGTTGTTCTAATCTTTGTTTTTGTTTTATAACACTTGTTTTTATTGTTAACTACTGATGAAGATTTTCATTAATCGCAACGTTTAGTTAAGCAATACAAATAAACTACGAAGTAAAAAAGAAGAAATAAAAGAATTAATAAATATCAAGCTACCTCTCTTTTCTGATTGTTTACCCTTTTTCAAAAGCAACCAACGATCGTACTTCAAAAGATTATTCATTTATCATGCTAGCCGCCTAAAAGCAAAACTAGCACATTTCTTTTATAGTTCATTTTACGGTCTGGATACGAAGGACGTCTGCAAACGTATCCTTGTACAAAATACCTGATATGTAACCCGTTAAATGTTGCTCTTTTAGCTAGTTACGCTCAACGTATTCAAACATTTTTAACGTGGATATAACTTAAATAAAAAGAAATTCCTTTCTTATATACTATTATATATAGAAATCTAGAGTTTATATAAGTAATACATTTATATTCACCATCATCGTATGCATAGCATGCTTTCACACACTATCGTATAATATGTTGATTTTGTGTCTATTTTTATATACGGCAAGTCCGGTGCCAGTCAAAGTCTACCTCAACTCCAACCGTTTTGCTTCGAATTTCACCACAATAACAGAGCTCAATAAACATAAGTTCCAAGGGCCAACGCGGCCTCGATCGGTTGACATGCCCTAGACTTATGTCATTTCATTACAACTTATATTTACTTTTTATTAAAATTTTGTGAGAGCTAAAATACAGTTCATTAATATATACAATAACTTATATGTATTCTTATTTTATTTGCGAAGATACTATTGACTTTTATTTTAATAATAAATATTATCATAAATAGGTTTTATTTTATGAATTTAATGTGAATTTGGAACTATCAAATCAAGAATATGGATATTGAATCGAGTAATGACATCAATAATGATATAATCTTAAAGTTTGGAAAGCAAAGTAAGAACGACGAGGATTGGTTCTATTTTGACTCATCTATTATTTTTACTAATCATGGAGGTTTTGGAAGAGTGCCCAAGTCGATTATTCTGCTGTAACTCGACTCAAAAATTCTTTTACTCTGATAATCGGTAACGTATAATAAATATAACAGAACTGACTCTCATGGGAAAATTTGCTACCAAAAAACGTTGCCGATTATCAGAGTAAAAGAATTTTTGAGTCGAGTTACAGCAGAATAATCGACTTGGGCACTCTTCCAAAACCTCCATGATTAGTAAAAATATTAGATGAGTCAAAATAGAACCCATCCTCGTCGTTGTTACTTTGCTGGCTGCCTTCAAAAGCAAGATGGCGATCTCCTTGTGTCTCTGCAACACTCAGTTATTTATTTACACATTCTAATACATTAGAACTAGTCTTGCATAAACATCCGAATATACTGGACATGAAGTAGTACTTGAGTCGAGTATACTTGACTCAAGTATCAAGCTTTAGGCTTGACTTGTCACCTGTCTAGTATCAGTCCTCTGTCGATTACTTGCAGAAACAAAACATTCTTAAATTAAAAATATTTCTATCGACACATTTGCTGTTCTTACTCGTCTTGTACTACAAAACTCTTTTTTTGCATATGACAAGGAATTTTTTCAACAGACAAGAGGGGGAACCATGGGAAGCACCGTTACCCAGGTCCTAGCCGACGTATACTTGTAAGAATGAGAGTTTCGAAGACGACAACAGCAGCACGGACAGTTGTACGTGGGATTTAGAGACGATATTTTCATCACGACAAACGAATCTCTTCGCCATATCGAACACCGGCTATAACAATTAAATCAAACAGATGAAAATATTAAACTCACGTACGAAATTGGGAAGCGAGTAGACTATTTAGATGTTACTGTCCACGTACGCGTACCACGTGCGAGGACGATAGTATATCGAAAATCAGTTGTACAACCTTACATATTACCGTTTGACAGCTCTCATCACAAACACATAAAAAAGAATATCCCATACCGCGTACGTACGCGCCATTCGAATTACTTGAGATATGCAAGATTGCAGACATGAATTTTTTGACATACGACAATGACTTCTTCTTAACAGTTATCTCTCACATTTTGTAAACGTTCAGTTTTCTCGACTTCTCTCCGATTTAAAATTGCTTTCTGAAAAGCATCTATTTCAAAACTATCAGACGATTCGGATGCGATTAAGGTACTTGGACTGGAAAAAACCAGATTCGAACGTAAAACAACGTATCCCAATTAACTGAAATAAGGACTTGCTCGTCCATTTTTTTACGCAGCCGACCTGGAAGATTTATCTTCAGTTTTTAGACGATTATGAACAGACACATTTCACGACACACTCCTAGCTATGATTAATGCACAGCGGGAATATCGTGTAACACCGAATTTAACACAGCCTTTAGTGCGGAAAAAACCATCAAAAAGTATTCTTCGAATCCAAAGAAATACATAAAAAATTTCAACGACTCGCATATTTTTCTGTCATGTTCACTCACTTCCATCACCCCCACCATCCTCCTGTGATAAATTTCTGTTTTCAACTGACTACTGTTTCATAAGATATGCTGTGTATGAACGATTAGCAGATTCCTCACGGATCATCAGGTGCTCGGCAAATATAGACGTAGAAGTATAACGTAGGATAAGTTAGCTTGATCTTCTAATAATTTTAGGAAACATTCTCACACAAACGTGTGTCATAAACGTTATTCCGTGTGTCACAAAGAACTCGATGAGCTCTATATAACTGCACTACTCGGAATAATCAGATCCTTCCATGGGACACAGTTACTGTACAAACAGTAATATTTTCTACGGGAACATATTTAACAAACTAGTATTCTTGGCAAATATTCTCTCACTGGACTGTGTCACTGCCAAAAGCTAGTGTGTCTTATAGATTTCGGCGAGCTCTATCGAATGGTATACTTCATGTTATCTGAGCAGCTTCTACAAATCTGGAAAGTGCAAAATACTTAGAAAACTAGTGCATTTACAACCTATTTGTACTAAAGATTCTCTCACAGACGTGTATCACGGCCCAAAACAGTCTCATCAAATGCAGTCTGACAAGCTGAATCCAAATATATGTTCAGATCTATTTTACGATCTATTCTTTCGCAGGAAAGTACAATAGTATGGTTTCAATGCTTAACCCACATTGAAGACTACAGTAAAAAGCCTAAAAATTATCAGTATCCTCAAATATTCTCTCTTGAACGTGTGTCAGCACGAAACAACAGTGTGTCATGTAGAACTCGACCAGATCTATCCAAATATATCTTGATCTCGTTCATTCAATTCATATCAGCTGAGAAAAATAAATTTTATTCCTCTTGCACTGCAACATAAGTGGAATTTAAAGACAGCGAGGATTCTTCTAGTATCATACCGTTAGCTTCTGCTGTCTTGTCAGATCATAGTGTTGCTAGTATAAGCTACTTTTTGAATACAGTCAGAAAATGTATTGTTACTGTTAAAGGAAAGTTTGTTCGACCTACATTCATTGTTATCGATTTCTCGGCAGCTCTGCTGAACTCTATTTTAAACACGTTCAATACTGAAGAAATGAATAGATACTTGCGTCGATGTTGAAATATTCTTTTACAAAAATACTCTTCCACGGATCTGAAAGCATTATCTTTCGTTAGATTCTGTTGTGGGCATGTGATGCACGCCTTTGCAAGAAGTTTGGCAGCTGCTCGAGTAGAAAAACACTTAAAAAAACCTGCAATGCACATGTTCGCATTGATTTTAAATTGCAATACGTTCTTAACAGCCCTAGAAGCTTTCAAATCAATTGTGAATATATTTGGTGACCCCTTAAATAATAACGCTGAAACCGTTTTAGACAAGTTTCTCGTTGTCGATGCCCCTATTGATAATTACGATGAAAGTATCGAAGAAAGTGGTGAGAATAATGCTGTAGATGAAGTAAATGATCCACCAGGTGAGGTTGATGATCTCGAACAACCAGAAGTTCCTATAGTGCAGCAGTCGTCATTTACCTGTGAGGCCAACAATCAAATTCCGCTCTTGAACACCCTTTCAATCGACCAGGTAGAGCCTAAACATGTAACAAATTCAATGTATTGCAAACAGATAGTTAAGATAACATACAAATGGTTTGCGTATTTACCGATGTGGAGTTGTCTTCTATATCAATTTGATGAGCGGTAAGCGAAAATTCCTGTGCTAAGGCTTGTTTGATTTCTTAGCTGAAACACTTCTTTTAGTTATGCCAGTGATAGCGTTTATAGCTCCACCACACATACTTTAGGAGCAGGTCTTGTTGTCTAACGCTACTAATAATAATTGTAAAATAGTAAATGACACTACAAAAAACGAAATATAATATTTTTGGAAGTACTGATGCAAGTGTATTTGGCCACGTAAACGAAATTCAAGAACATAAAAGTGATAACTATTGTGCCAATATTAATTGTCCTAAGCAGCATACTCGACGATTCAGTCATGACATAATCATGCGGTAAGGTCGAATCTAAGTATTACTGCGTGTATGAGTCAAGCATTTATGTATGCTTCTTTAGAAAGAAAAACGGTAATTATCCTGACGAACTGGAACAGTTTACGTATCAGCAAGCGGGTAGATGTGGAGCAATTGTTGATGAGAACTACCTTGAAGATACGTTTGAGTCAGATTTGCTGACAGATGATAACATTCGAAAGTAAGAAAACATCAATCTAGAAGCACATAACATATGTAACGTTTTCCCTGTTAGGAACGTCAATTGTTGTGCTGCAGAACGCATTTACCTTCCTAAGGAATTCGTAAATCAACCGCCGTTCTGTATTATTGATCTTCCACATGAAGATCAAACAAGAACAAATCAATTACCCAATATGTTACGTATTGGAAATGAAGAGTAAGTATAACTATCAATTTAACACTTGAACAAGTGCGCTGTGTTAGATAAGCCCACAACATTAGATAGCGTAAAAGAGCTATGTTATCTGCTTTAGATCACACCACTTTAACTTGGTTTATAAAATTTTAGCTACCATTTAATTGGTTGTACTTGTCATGAACGAAGCAAGAATCATTTTACGTTAACTCTCAAAGTTGATGACGGTTATGTAAAGTATAACGACATGAATCCTGCAGGATTGTACAAGTACGATGGAACTGACATCATTGAATCTGTTGTTTATTCCCAGTGAAGAATATACAATACTTTTAATCTTACCTTGAGTAATAAAATGTGTTTCTTATGGTAAATTTAAAAGTAAGGCTTTCTTTTCATTAACACGTTGTTTTCTTTTTGGCTGTATTCTGTGTTACATGCAATAAAGATTCATTTTTCGCCTGAGGAAGTTATAAGACAATTGTACATTCAATTAATAATCAAAGCAGATTAAAATGCTATACGTGATATTCACAGAAAAAAACAACGCGTCACTAATCAGTTAAATTAATAAAGTCTTACGGATGAACTATACATCTAAAATTCGTTGACTTGTTATATAGATAATTAATTATTAATATACACTCTATTCTAGCAATCAACGGAGAACTGCTGTATTCTTTCTAAATTGCTTAATTGGAAAAATTTACAGATGGTCTTGATCAGCCATCTAATAGCAGACATTTAACTTCTTCACACATTTCACACCTAATGTAATCTATATATAGACGGTTAAGTCGTTTCATCAACCGTTCAGTTACTATTCTTTGTTGTACTCAGTTCTTATTAAATGTATCACTCTTCAACGAAAATGCACAACAGAAAACCACAAATTCAAAGTTTAATGTCTTTCAAACCCATTTTACCACTAATGTCATTTTCAATTCAAAACTCAAACTTCCCAGTAACAGACTCAACCAATGATTCAACTGCAAACTCGGTGAAGGAATCCGTCCCTTGAGCTACTACTAAACCACCAAGAAAAACTTGAAAAGATTGGAACGTCAACCCACTATACGTCAAAAACAACAAGAACAAATTGGAAAATCCCAAAGTCATGATAAAAACAGTATGTTTTTCTCCATACATTTTCTTTTATCCTTAATCAGTCTGTCTTTCTAGCACAACTACAACAAAAGTTCAACAAAATTCAAAGGAATATGGGAAAAATGAAACATGCCATAGATACATTCAATGAATTATTGGTAAACGGAACTTTCGTCACAACGCACTTTCGTCACATGTGACGAAAGTGCGTTTTTCGGAAAAAAGCATGGTGACGTAAGTTCCCGTGAATTTCGGAGTGCTTTTTGTGGCTGTGACGAAAATTCACATTTTGATGACGAAAGTTCCGTCGAGTATGACGAAAATACCCTTGTTTTTAATGGTTC